TAAGATATATTAATAGCTACTTAAAGGTATTTTTAATTCAGTTACATCCATTACAAAACTACCAAGTATAGTAAAGATTTCCTTAGTGGCAAATTTTCTGAAGATTTTCTCTCTTGTTTTAGACTTTTATCCAAAGATCGGATAAAACTCAAAGTGGGGACGTCTCCCTGGTAGATTTTGTTCACTATATAAGAGAACATGAGAAAAATTTACGTTTGTATTTTTCTCATCTAGACAAAAACCAAGATGGTAAGTGAAATCCATTTTTTTTTTCTTATTCATTTTCTATTTTCTTTGTTTTTTGTAACTTTGAAAATGTTGTTGTCGTTCGACTCAAAGCTGTATAAATAATATCCAAAAGGACGCATGAGATTAAGATATCGATTTTTCTTAGGTGCGGCAAAACGTTAAAGCTCTTAATCAGTTTTAACATTGACCTTTGACACACAACTGAGTGAAAATTTGGGGTGTTCTCGAAAAGGGTTGGGATAGGTTAGTACATGGATGTCATTATCCTTAAAACGTTGTAGCTTCCCATCGATTAGTTGTCCCATTAAAATTTAATTAATCATTTTATTACTGGCCATCTTTTCAAAATATTTTCATTATCTTTTTGAAGAAAGCACTATAGAATTTCATATTTTTAATTTAGATAACTGTTAGAAAATAACATTTGTTTACGCATAGTTTAAATGTTTGTTTGGTTTGTTAAATTTTTATTATTGTTAATTAGAACTGTGGAATACATAATACATTTTTAATTATAAAACATACGAGTCCTTTGGATTTTATAATAATTTGTCTTCTTTCACATAAGAAAATTGAAAAAAATCTTTTACTTATTGTGATTTTTGTTGCAAAAAAAGTTTGTTGAAATGAATTTGTTGCCTGTGTGTTGCCCATGATTTTATTAATTTCGGGAATAGAAGTGAGGCGCTATAAATGGCAATCTTACAATTGTCCTTGAACAAGAGCCAATTTAATTCATTATAAACTGGCACTGTGCGGTGCTATCTGGCACAGGCGCAATTTTTCTCGGCCCAACTTTTTAATTTAATACGTTGTATGATGTTAAAATTGATAGTCTCGACTATCATAATAGATGCTAATGGAAAATTTCGTCGCTTACAAGTGATTATATCAATTGATATGACTGGCATTTGAATTCGTGCCATATCATATGTTAAAAAGCGAATGTCGAAGTTTCTCCTTAACTTTTACATTTTTATATTTAAATAGCCCAGTGAATTGGTTTGAATTATATGAATAGAAAGTGAAAAAAAAGGAATAAAACCTGCTAATTTTGTGTTCCAACATAACATAAAATACTTACTCAAGTTATAGGTACAAAATTATTTAACTGACTCACAATAAATGCCGTCTTCAGATGAGAGAAGATTGTGATGCAGTTACAATAGTTTAAAACATCTCATTTATTCAATTTTTGTCTTTATTTATCTATAAAAATAGAACACCGTTTGATATTCTTGTAACATTTACTTATAAATAATACAATTGTACTTGAACCAATTGTATTCGAGAATAATATTTTTTGTTTTTCGAAGACATCGCTTCTACGGATGTATTTGATATTAAACCCACCGCTAATAACCCTTGAAATCTCAAATCACTGTCAGACATTACAACTACTTCGTTCGTGTTGTCTTTTCCTGCCGTAACCTTATAATCCCAACTTAACTGCTTTCTTGCTGTTTGT